TCTTCTTCTTCTTTCGCTCCCGCTCCTCCTCCTCCTGCTTGCTCAGCTTGCGTTTGTTCGACACCGGTGCATTATAAGTGTAGTTTGGGGGGAGTGGTCTGACTTCGGATGCTTTCACCTGCTCTGTCGTGTTGTAACCCTTGAATACAATGCTGTAAACACGGTTGTCTGCAGAGCCCCCTACTGACGTTATCCTCGCCGGGTACCAACCACCATCTGCTGAATACTTCGCCTGACATTCATCGCCGGCAGTCCACGTTTGCACTGGGGTAGCTGAGGAAGACTTTCGTGAAGACTCGACTTTGGATGACGATGCTAGCTCAGCCTGGGCGATTGCGGTCTGCGTAAGTCCAATAAGCTCCTTCAGCTCCGAACGCAGTGCCTCGAGCTCTGCATTGTCTGGGTCAGCGGAGAGTGCGACTTCAACTTGAGAGAGCTGGACTTGATACGTCTCTAGATCTGTTTTGTCCATGTTCGAGAGGACTGTAGTGAGAAATGGATGACAAAGGGGCCTTTGTTTGGCTGTCAGAGATGTGGCAAATATACACAGTAAATCCAAAAAAGGGAATCTAAGTGAATGGCTAACGCGATGGTCAACCAGATGGCCTTCAATCCCACACACCGCTTCCATCCATCTTCACCCGAGTATCCTGCTTCGCCTTGCTACCCTGCGGCCTTCCCGCCTTCCGGGATCCGCGTTTTGAGTGATATTTCCTCTGCTGCTGCGCTCGACTTTTTGATAGATTCGAGGAAACGATATTTCTAACATTGTTTAGACTGAGAGCCTCTGTCATCTTGGCAAGAGAATCAGGGGATACAGATCTGGACCGAGGAGGTGATCTTGATAGTGCCCGAGTCTCTGAGATGTCCGAGACGTCTGATGGATAGTCCTCTGTCCGTCCTCGCGATTTTGCTTGATGGGGTTCATCGTCCATTGCGACATCGCGATCCTGATGTTCGTCAACATCTGTCGGCATGTTTTTGAGACTTGTTCTTGTCACATCTTCCTTAGCTTCAATTTCGTCTTTCTGGTCCTGTCCTTCATCTTCCCTGTACCCTGCCTTCTCCTCTCCAAGACCTTCTTCGCCTTCATTGTCGCCTTCGTCTTCATCTTCATCATCTTCCTCTTCCTCCTCTTCCTCCTCATCCTGCCCTTCTTCTTCATTGACAGCTGCCATGTACTGATGAACAATCAGCATAGCACTCTCTACATGCAACAAATCGTACGAACCTCTTCCAAAACCTTCATGTCTTTGTTGCCGAACCCACTAGCTGCCACAACGACATCCAGTCTGAAAGTTGATTCAGAGGAATCCTCCGTTGCTATCGTCTTGAACCGTGGATATAAGGAGCTCTCATATTGAAAGCGCCGCCTGAAGAATGTACGGATGCATTCAACGTCGCGATTGAAATACCTGGGAGATGAAATTAGCCAGAACTCGACAACGAAAGAAATAGATAGCAACCATTCTGCATTCACATGTGATGTGCTGACCATCTGAGGGAAATCGATAACGACAGGCTCCCCAGTGTCTCGCCGTATTAGAATGTTGAATTCATTAAAGTCTCCATGAATCAACCCGGCGCGAGCAAATCGCACAATGATATCCATCAACGTTGAATAGAGTTTTCCTGGAGATTCAACCTCTGATATTTGTCGCCTGTGGAAGCAGATAAATAACAGCATAGAGGGCGTTTTCTGAAAAGCCTCACAAGGGATATGCATCGATGAATTCCATCAGAATGCAGTGTCGTGCTTGATCGATAGGTCTTGGAACAGGAAAATCGTGTTCGTGAAGGACCTGAAATATTATTCATTACAGGAGACGGTTTACGATGAATACTTACCTGCATGAAAGCCCATTCTTTCTGAGCGGCTAAGCGAGACATGTACATCCACGACGCTGATTTCCTCTTTCCGAGATAATCCCGCTTGTCCTTTATCGCGCGAAAGGATATTCGACCAAGTCTGTCCGGCTACCATGAGGCAAGTTGAGGCACGCCACATGGGATTCTCACCGATGTAGCTTCAATACCATTTCCTTGCCTTCTGAATCCGCGACTATGTAGATATCTGTACATACAACTGAGGAACGGTCCAGCGAAAGATCTTGGTTAGGCTCACCGGATTCCTTCCCGACACCAATCTGATTTCCAACAGAGTGCATGGAGTCTCTCTTCGACATCGCGCGCATAGCAAGGTAATCGTAACCACCATACGTCAACCTGTATCCGTCGTCTATTTGCAAGATATTATGATTCAACGAGATGGATCATGGAAGTAGAATTACATTTTGAATTTTGAACCTTTGAGACTAGGTTGCGTTTTGCAAGGGAGCCGATAAGTTTATTGACACCGCCACCCCTCAGGCCAGATATCTGAGCAATAAGATTCGTAGGAACCACTTCATGGTTTTTTGAACCCATCTCAACCTGACAACAGACTTGAGTGACGTGAAATGCATAGCGAGCAGGGTACATACTGCCGTTAGAACCCTGAATTCCTCCGGTGTCACATACCGGAGATCGGTAGCGTCTAATTTCATCTTTGAGAGTGGTGAATATTCAAAAGAGGGAACGATAAAAGCAAGTCGACGTTCAACAGATTTCTACCCAGACAGTGGAAGGAGAAAATAAGTACATTACGTCATACAGGTCATTATCGACGTCGAGACGGAAGATGCCGTAAAGCTTGTTTTGTCCTCCCATCTATTGCAATTTGCGACGATATGTTGGCCGACGGTTCGAAGCGTGTTCGTGATGCCAACAAGGTAAGGGATTATTTCCTCAATGTCAGCTTTCCTGAACGTCTTATCAAGGCATCGGCGACAGAGTTGTCGACGGCTCTCAGCATATCCGATCCCACGTATGTCCTAGTACGCGATCGTGTGTCTGCTCACGCAATATAAATACATTTTCAACATAGCTATGAAGTATTGACCTCCAATGAACTGTCCAAGCAGCTCCGTGAGGATATATTTGCAATGTTGGAAACCAACATGCGCGACTTGTGCGTTACAGTCACGTATATCGCAGAATGTTTCGCTGAAGACTACGTTAGGTACGCACAATCTTCTTTTGGTTGGGATCCTACAGACAAGCGGCAAGAAATGTTTGATCCTCTGTCACGGTTTGTCGTAGCTCGGAGGCCGGACACACATGCATTATCAGGATACACTATCTTCAGGTTCGAACACGAAGATAGCTCGGACATGCTTTACTGGTCGGCTTTCAAACTTCATCATCCAGAACTTTGTTTACAAGGTTCTATATAGTTATGAACTTCAGATATCAAATGCTTCTCGGCGCAGTGGGCTTGGGCGTAAATTAATGGATCTCTTGGGAGAAATTGGGCGAAATTGGCGTATGCAGAAGATCATGCTCACCGTCTTTGAAGGTATGAGGAGTTTATTCGTTTAGGGTTTCTAACTAATCTTGTATGCTTAGCAAATGATGCTGCACTTGCGTTCTATCTTGCTTTGGGGTACGCTATATCTTTTGTCAAACGGCGTACAGTCTCTGACACCAATGCAGCTTTGTCGTAGATGAAACATCGCCGGACAGTGACGATGATGCCGACTATAAAATACTTTCCAGGCAACTTGATAAACACTGAATGCTTTTGGGTACCATGTCAGCTGAGTCTGCATTGACGTTGACGTGGAATAGCCTATTATCATATCACACTTGTGCTGCTTCTGGCGTGTACTTGATCGGATGCTTGACCCCACCTCGATTGGGGTAGCAAGTCGTTTAGGATGGACGATGCTTTGAAACAGATACCTCTACGCCAGTGTAGGAGTCACCTCAACAGACGGGTGCGATCGCCGATCTGAAAGGCTGAACAATATGACCATTAATAACAGTCATCTAGTCGCCGAGCTCCAATTTTCGCAAATACAGGATGCAATCAAAGAAGACTGGGAATAGGATATAGCGAACCACCGGTTGTTATATGGCGTTTTGAGTATGTGGAAGTGCAAGCTTGGTCAGAGTATTGAGAAAGAGCCACCTTGTAAGTGATACTATCATGGTACGAAAGAGAAGCGAGGCCAGTAAAGACACGCGCTATTATGTACATTTCTGTTAGTAGCATGCGAATATAAACACCTTTCACCAGAACGAGGCGGGGGTAAGCCTCACCTAGTCCAATAATGGACGCTTTCTTGCACAGAGAAGATAATGACTCGGAGACCCACCAGCACAACGCAACCAAGAAATAATAAGGTACATTCAGATGCACCTGATGAACATTGTTTAGTGCTGCTATACATTGACGAGAGTGGGGGTCCTGGAGATTCTAAACGTGTGTCCGCCGAACGGTAACTTACCGTGGCAAAGCCAACCCTATGTAAGCCCATCCTCTACAATGACGTACTTACTACAGTTTATGACGCATACGTATGTCGCTTACAGACTAATTTCTGCTTCCGTTTTAGTACATACCCCTCTCTCGGACTCGTATAAAGACTCGCAAGATACAGATACCTCCCCATTCTTTCTTTCCCTCTTCCCTTCTTAGGCGCCTGCTTCTCCTCTCCTCTCCTCGTTCAGCGCACTTGTTCTTCCCCCATGCGTTCAGTGTTCTCTGTCGTGAACTGCAGGGTTCCACTCTCCTTGGGCGGGTCCATAGGCAAAGGTTACGCGCTGTCACCGACATCGTCGAAGGGTGTCTCAGCGCTGCCCCGCCTATGCCACTCACCGACTGACACGATGCCAAGAGCGTTCTGCAAAATTTGTGCTCATTTATCTAGATACTTCATTGTAATTACAGGAGTGCTTTATCACCTAGTCTTCTTAGATTTGTCGTAGTCACTGTTCATAGTGAACGGGAGGGCGGGAAGAAGTGCAGCGTTTTGGTATCAAGATGGGGCCTGGAGGTGACAAAATGGTATCCTAACATCCTACCCTGAAGGTTTTTGCGCGCACCTCCATCGCCGGAGCCCTATAAGGCTATATATACTACATAGTACAGATTCTAGAGAAAATGAACAAAAAGACGCTGGGAGCAGGATTTGAACCTACGCGGTGAAACACCAAGTGATAATGTAGTACTTATGTAACAATCCAATTACATAATACTGAATTCAAATCACTCGCCTTAACGACTCGGCCATCCCAGCTTGAGATCTGAAGGAATTCTTACCCCCACATAGCCTCTCTTGCGAAGCGATTGAAATCCTCGTCTACACTCCTTGATCACCATCTACTCAAGCGTCAAGCAATGGACTCGCTCATACCCTTCACAACGTCCGGCGCGCTGGTGGACTGCGTGGACAGTACGTCGCGCACCGCCATGGCTTACACTGTTCAAAAATAACGTTCCTTTCTGATTTCTCGCGTCCGTGTTGCTTGTAGGGAAGATGCTCGTCATACTCAGAGACGGGCGTAAACTGCAAGGCGTCTTGAGGTCCTACGACCAGTTTGGTACGTCCTTTCTCCTACGTATGCCTGTTCCCTTTTACCAACTCTGTGGTGTCCTGCGCAGCAAATTTGGTTCTTGAAGACACTGTTGAACGAATATACCATGGGAATGCTTTCGCAGAGTTTCCGCGCGGTCTGTTTCTCATACGAGGCGAGAATGTTGTACTACTGGGTGAAATTGTACGTATCGTGGCTGTGAACAGACCATGGCTTAACGGATTTATAGGACCTGGACAAGGAGGATGAGGTCCCCCTTCGGCAAGTCGACTATGTAACGCTGGAACCGTATCATCAGAACGACATCGAGGCAAAAAAGCGGAAGGAAGAACACAAGGCGCAGATTCTGTTTGAGGAGAAGGGGTTCTGCAAAGAAGGAGGGGAAGGCGATGGATACTAAAAATTTCCAACGGTATCATCTGCTCGACGTCATCTCTACATTACTGATGACCTCTCTACGTTGTGTGTTTCATATTGTACTATTGACATTGACTATCGTGGTTGACTATACATGCAAGTAACAAAGCAGACGATGGGCTACAAAAGAGTAATAAAAATACAAGGTAAGTATCGGACAGGCAGGAAAGTCATGGCAGAAAAACTATCATCTTTTCTTCCTCTTCAGTGTCTTCTTATCATCCCCGTTCACCTTCACCTTCCCCTTGACGTTCTTGACCCCGTTGCCATTGACATTGATGACCTTGCCGTTGCTCTTCAAGGGCCCAGGCTTGCCGTCTGTGTCAATATCTGCGCTCTCGGCGCCGACGAGATCCTCCATCTGTTTGCGTATTTCTCGCTCTTGGGTCGTGAGTTTCATAATGGCTTCTTCGCCTTTTGTCTTCTCGTTATTGATGTCGTCCTGGCGAATGGACTGCCAACCATGATGCCGCTCGCAATCCTTGGGACCAGAACACCACCATTCGGCATCAGTATCGTCGGCGTCAGCAGCATAGCTTTCTTCCACACCGTCGCCCCACTCCTCCCACTCTTCCTCGCCGAAGCAGAGCCGTTGATCCCATCCACAAATATCGCCCCCTGCCTCAGCCCGTTGACACGCCAACTCCCATACCCGTTCTCGCCAGAGAACACACTCCATCGCACGTCGCAATCCCGCTCGTGCTTTACCAACGGCTTCCAGTGGCCCAGCCAAGCGTTCGATTTCCCGCTCCGCCTTGGTCTTGCTCTTCATCACAGCGCCAGTCTGACAGTGAACCACGACCCCTTCTCGTCGCTCTGCGTCTTTCACTTTAGACCATAGCACCTCTCGACTGCCGCCTTTCGCTGTATACGCGTCGATCCTTCGTCGCATGTACTTGACGCCGCACTCGGGCGAGCAATACTTGCTCAAGGCACCTTTCGACGGTCGATGACATGCATCAGTAGAAGTAGGGTCGGGATCATCAAGACCATTGAGACACCTGGTTTTGTACGTCGTCTTCAGGTTCAATTGAGGATTTTCTGAGTTATGACGATCAGTTATAAATAAGAACTTAAAGTCGGAAGATCACGCACTCTGAATACAGGGTGGACATATGAACTGGTCTACCAGATCCACTTCCAGTTCCGACATATTCACGCATTGAGTATGGTACCAGTCGTCGCACCTATCACAGCCAATCATACACCGGCCCTCATCGTACTTGCGTTTGCACACGCAGTAGAGTTTGTCGTCCTCAACCTCCTTCTCCTTCTCTTCAGGCTTCTCATCCTGACCCTCCTCCTGGGCATCGCCAGGTTTGACACTAGTCGATCGCGATCTTGAAGCCGAAATTGAAGCCGCTTTGCCCTTCAGAGGCACTGACACCTCCTTTTTCCCTTTCGGGCCAGGTTTCGCAGTAGGTTTGACCGCAGGCTTCACGACCTTGGGCTTAGGACCAGGTTTCTTCTTCGTCTTGACCGTCGTCATCGCAGGGGGCGGCATCGACTCCCTGTCGCGCTCCTCGGAAGCCTTCTTTTTCATGCTGGCCTTCCTGACAGGTGGAACAGGTGGCAGCACGAGTTTTGATTCCTTCACAGGCTCATCCTGCACCAGACTCAGCAGTTCGTCCTCCACGTCAACCTCCATCCGGTCAGCTTCCTCTTCATTCGCATCAGGTACTGGCGTACCAACGTCTGCCAGCTCCCTCTCCAGCTCTTTGGTAAGATCATCCTCAGGCGATGAGGAACTGTTCGGTTTCTTCTTCTTCGGAGCGGGGGAATCGGCGAAATGCTCGAGGAACCATTCGTGTGCATCCTCTTGCGTCATCCCGTCCTTGTGAGAAGTGGCAGACAGTGGTCTCTTCGGAGGAGTAAGCTTCTCTTTATGAGTGGTAGCTGACAAGGGCCTTCTTGGTGGCAGCTCCGTATCTTTGTCTTTGTGGTGCGACGAATCCTTGTGCTTCGGGTGCTTGACTGGTTTCATCTCCACCTCGACTCCCGCCAAAGGCATCGGCTCGTCTTTCATGGGAGTACTAGGTGCTGGTGTTGGTGGCACGACACTTTCCCGTCTCTCCACTTTGATTTCGTCAATCATTTCGACTTTCTTCTGTGTGTGTTCTTCAGCCTTTCCGTAAACATGCGCATGAGCGATAGCCCGGCCTGTCTGGCTTCCCGGAGGACTCCGCTTCATCATGCTGGTTGGAGTAGGAATGATCGGGCTGATAACTCTTTGGGTCGGGGTGGAAAGAGGGATGATCGGTGAAGAAATAGGCACTATGGGAGGTGGTATGGGCTGCTTGGAGGGACGCAAAACGCTTGGAGGCACTGTCTTTTCAGTCGGAGGGGAAGAGGCAACGGGGCTGGCGATTCGCTCTGATGACGATGGTTGGGGATGTCGGGCGACATCTAAAGATGATGTCAAGGACGATGTTGATGCCACCGCGTCCCGCTGCAAGAGCCCGGATAGCGAACTGGATGTGCTGGCATTCTCCCGACGTGGTTCGGAATGAGAGGTCAATGGTTTCTCTCGCAGAATGGTCTCAGTGTTCATGAGAGAAACGGGACTGACGACCCTCTCCTCGCGTTCATTCGCATGGTGAACGATGCTTGGAACCTCCCGTTCCTTTGCGACCACAGGACTTGGAAAACGCTCCCTGGTAATCACGGGGCTGAGATGCCTCTCCCTCACAACTACGGGACTAGGAGGTCTCTCCCTTGCGACCGTGGGACTGAGAACCCTTTCCCCGGTGGGGGTAGGACTGATCGTCCTCTCATGGGGAGAATCAAAGTGAGTAGCAATGGACAGTCGTTCTCTAGGTGCGACGATGGACTCCCTGGCGGATGAACGGCTCGGAATGTAGTCCTTAGCTACGAGAGGGCTTGGAATGCGTTCTCTAGCAGGAATAGGATTTGTAGGGTGCTCTCTGGACAAGACCGGACTCGCATGGTGTTCCCTCAAGCTCGGAGCTCGTTCTCTGGTCGGAACTCCGTCCCTGAGATATATCGGGCTTGTTACACGGTCCTGGATCGAGATAGGCGGGTAGGCAGGGACGGACAGTTGTTCCCGGGAGGGGGCTGGGGTGATTGTCGGGGTATGGGTGGTGTGTTCACGGGTAATCTGGTCAATGATGGCATGTTCGCGGATATGTTCACGATTGTCGACGTGTTCGCGAGGCAATGCAACGTGTTCACGGGGAGGCACGGTGACGACATTTTCACGAGGAGGTAAACCGGCGACAGTGATTGAATGCGATCTATCTCGGTGATGTGTGATAGATGGATGGGTGGAGATTGGTGGAATTTGCATCGGAAACGAGCGACCACGCGGATCCCTGCTACGTGCCCGTCAGATGAATGTAATGTAAGGACCGATGAGACGCACCCTGGAATCATGTCCCTCTCTCTGTGAAGCTGCCCTGTTTCCCTCTCAAAAAGCGAATCCCTAAGAAGAGAAGACCTGTGAGATGGGTGAAATAAGAAGTGATGAGACCGACCTCGGATCCCTTGACAAAACTGGCGACCTATGCACCAAGTGTGAAGAGACGGGTTCATGATTGGATGAATGCGATGATAGTGAAGATATGGAGTCCCTGTGTATTCGGGCAATGCCTTCTTGAGAAGATATTGAGTCTCGATGAGAATGGATAGAATCGCGGTGAGAACGATCGGTGAGACGACAACGGCTGCCTGTGTGTTGGGATCTGAGCTAGTGAATCCCTGTGCGATGGCTGAGACGACGGAATGACCTGCGATGGATGAGAGCCTGTGGAATCCCTGCGAGTTCGATATTCCGTGTGAGACACGGCATCCCTACCGAGGGCTTCCCTTTGGGCAACTTCCCTTTGTGAGTGAGAGGATATGGGGACAGAGCCCATGGAGTCCCTCCGGGAACGCACGATAACAGAGTCTGTGTGAGATGTTGAATCTCGAGAAGACTGAGACGGTATTGTGTCTCTATGGACCAACAAGTCTCTGGAATCTCTCGGTGCGGGGATGGGCTCTCTGTGCGATAACGGGGGAATGGTAAAAGGCATGGTGTTGTTGCTGGAACGTGGGCGGGCTGCGTAGGATGGATTCACGGGAATGCAAGACTGAGGGACTGGTTAGACGGTTTGTCGAGGAGAACGACTGAGGGAAGATGGACGGGCTGGTGACTCGCAAGGTAGGATCCCGGGCGGATGGTGGGAATGTCGGGGCAAACGATGAAGAAGGAGGAAAGGAGTCGCGGGACGACGTCGGGCGCGATGAGCGGAGGGTTGGACTGGTGATGGTTGAGAGAGAAAGG